TTCAATCAAAATATGTTTCTGGCTTTGTAATAAAAGTTTCTATAGGGCCGGCCAGATAGCTCAGTGGATTAAAGTGCCGGTTTAGGCAGACTCAGGTGCCGAGGGTTCGATCCCCAGCCTGCTGTGTTGGCCCCGCCCCCAGGGCACTAAGAGGGAATTGAAACTGGGCGTGGAGGTGCCCTGTAATCCCAGCGCTTGGGAGGCTGAAAACAGGAGATCACTATGAGTCCTATCTGCGTAGTGAGACCCTGCAGACCCTGAACTAAATACACTTTTAAAAAGTTTCTATAGGGAGAAACAGTTATTTTGTGAGGTTGACCATATTTTATTGCAGGAAATAGTTTCAGTAATATTTTTTTCAGTTGAGCTCATTCCCCCTATGCTGTGCCACAAAACAGAATATTTTCCTGACCTCTTGCCAATTTGGGTTCACTTTTACCTTCTACATATCTTATCTATTATACCACATCTTGAAATGTGTAGTCATCTTCCTGTGATCAGAACAAGAGAAGATATCTTTCACATGATCACTTGGTTCTCATTGCCAGAGGGATTAATGTGTCATGCTTCCTTAATGCCTGTGCTGCCCCCAAAATTACCCCATTTTCAAATTACAAAAGAATTATCAAGTGTGAGGCAGCCAAGGATTATGTGAAGGTTCCAACTTTCACCTCAGTATGTCATCGCTCAGAAACTTTTCTAATAAGAAACAAAAACAGCTACAAAAAATTCTTATGTATTTTATTGTCATTGCCTACCATATATGATTTTCTTGACTACTGGCTAACTAAAATGGGACCTTTTTTTTGTCCTCCAGGGATTTATCAACTCATAGGTAGCAACCGTATCTTAGAAAGTAAAACTTCAACAACAATCAGAGGACCATTTGGCAGCAATCTGTGGAGCAAGAAGGCAGGAAGACAAACAATTGCTAACACAACGGAGTTTGTGGGAAGCAAGGAAACTGTCCTTTGCTCTTGGCAACCTTTTAATGAAGTAACAGGAAAACTTAAAGTCCCCGGTAGAATTTAAAATTTAGTCTTATAGAAAAAAAAGACAATTTTTTTTTTTTTTTTTTTTTTTTTTTTGAGACAGTCTTTGTATGTAGTTCAGGCTGGTTCACCAAAAGCCCAGGCTGGCCTCAAACTTTTGGCATTTCTTCGACCTCAGCCTCTTCCTAAGTGCTAGGATTATAGGTATGCACCATCAGACCAGGTTGGAAAAAAAAGGTCTTTTTTCTTTTTAAATTTTTTTCTTCTACATTTATTTATTTGTTACAGGGTCTTGCTGTGCAGCTCAGACTTGTAGTGATCCTCCTGTCTCAGCCTCCCCAGTGATGAGATTACAGGTTTGTACCACCAGGCACAGTTTTGGTGGCTAGTACGACATGTGGTACTGGGAATCAAACCTGGGTCCTTGTACTTGCCAGGCAGGTACTTAGCCTGCTGAGCTATCTCCACAGTCCCTGAAAAAGAAAAAAAAAATCTTAACCATGGAATTCCTTTGGCTGAAAAAAAATGAACAGAAGCATCTGAGAGTATATATTGGCTTATGTATCTAAAAAGTCTAAGTAAAATGCAGTTGGATCAGCCAGCTATGTTGGTGCATGCCTATAATCACAGCATTCTGAGAGGCTGAGGCAGGAGGATTACAAAGTCAAGCCCACTGTGAGGAGTTTAGTGGCAACCCTGGGCAGCTTAATCAAACAAGACTATCTCACAGGTTTTTGTTTTGTTTTGTTTTGTTTGGTGGAACTGGGGATTGAACTCAGGCCCTTGTACTTACCAGGCAAGCATTTATTCTACTGAGCTATTTCCCTAGGCCTGTCACAGTTTTTTTAAAAAATGAAGTTGAGTTGATTTGGTGGCTCAAAAAATGTCATCAAGTGACTGGGCGTGGTGGTGTACATCTGTAATCCCAGCGCTTGGGAGGCTGAAAACAGGAGGACCACTATGTGTCCAATCTGTGTAGTGAGACCCTGTAGACCCTGTACTAAAAAAAAAAAAAAAAAAAAAAAGTCATCAAATCTCTTCCTTTTTCTCCCTTGCTTTTTTGTCATGACTCTTATGTGACAACTCTAAATTAGTAACTTTAAACAGAATATAAAATAAAAGCAAAACCTGTCTTTCCCGGTGTTCCAAAATGGGTTCCAGAATCGAGTGTCATTTCTCAATCCTGAATCAGTCATTGTGGTGAGGAGAGAAAGTGTTACCCCACGGAAGCCACATGGACTGAGAAAGTCAAGCCTGCTTTCCCGAAGGAACTCCAGGGAGTTATTGTGGGAGAAAGCTGCATTCTGTGCATAGCCAACATGTCTGTCCACTGCAGGGAGGATATCAGGAGCTCATTTGGTCACGGTAATATGGTATAGAAGTAAACATTTCTGCTAAATACTAAAGAGAAAAAAATAGGAATAATCAACAGTAGGAGGGACTTCAGTAATAGATTGGAAAAAATTAGACAAATCTAACTGTTATATACCAGACCCCATTCTTTCCACTGTTTTCAATTGCAGAACACACCTGTGTTCCTAAAGGCAAACAGATTCCTAAAAGCTACAACGAAGATGAAGCTCTGATATATACCAGCCTTGTAATACATCAGTACTACACACCTGCAGGAATTGCAGTCAGTGCCTACCAATTCACTTTGCTTTGGACACTTAGAACTTAGAAGGTGTATCCTTTCACTCCCTTAATAAACAGTTCCTTTACTTTTTTTTAGGCAGGTTTTCATTAAGTTGCCCTGGTTGGGGTCAAACTTGTAATCTTCCTGCCTCAGCCTCCTAGGGTCTAAAATTATAGGCATGTACTACCACACCTTAATTCATTTACTTTTTTCTTAAGTCACAAAGTTTTTTTTTGTTTTTTTGTTTTTTTTTCCCTTTGGTAGAATATTCTCTAACTCCACCTTGATCTCCAAGAATATCCCCATCACTTTACACAATAGAGCAAACTACAAATGACAGTGTCACATTTTACCAACAGGGAACTGTGTAATTCAAGTCTCACCACATCCTGAAACTCAAGAGGAGAACATGTAAGCTCCTGTAAAATTAGAGCTTACATGTGAAGCAGCATGAGTTAGGGCTACATGCAGAGACTTCTCTGGAAACAAAGAAAAGATGGGGGAGGGGAGGGCAGACAAGAGGATGGGCAGACAGGTGCCGCCTCAGCAGGTGCGCCGCTGCCATGGCTCACATAGGTGCGTGCAGGGGTGGAAAGAGTGCACTTGATTTATAAGAGGGTGGAATCAGATTCTGTAACATAGAAAGCAGTGTGTAGACGTTGCCTGCAAGATTGTCTGCTTAGACAGTAGAATGATAAACTCAGATGAAAAGTACAGATTTCTCAGCATTTCTATCACTCTATCACTAACCTCTCTTCTTAAATTCCTGTAATTTGCATGAAGAGTGCATTTTTGAGCCTTTAGTCATTCATTCATTGAATCATTTAACAAATAGTTCTTGACCACCTGCTAAGTGCTAACACTTTTCTAGGCATCGGGGATACAGCAGGAAACATAATCCTTGATGTCGTGGAGTTGACATTCCATGGAAGGGAGCAGACAATAAATAAGAAAGTACATGACCTTCAGTTGATACATGTGAAGAAGAAAGTGAAGCAGGGAGAGAGGGATAAAGAGTGGTAGGCGAAAGGAAGCTGTTGCTTTATATCTTATAAATATGTGTGAGGAGAAGTAGAAGTTTGGGAGCAAGTTGTATGGCTTCCTGGAAAAGGATCTGCTGAGGCAGATAGAAACATGGAGTGAAGCAGAGATGCCCAGCCAAGACAGCCATGTCTCCTAGAAGAGGAATGAAGTGGCCAGGGGTAGAGGACAGTGAGGGTCAGAGACTGTGGTCAAAGAGCAGTCAGGGAGAGAACCCAGGCAGTGTGGGGCAGGGGCTACTACTACTTAGGGGAGAAGGAGCCCATTGAGGGGTTTGGACAGAAGAATGAAAGGGCCTGACTTATGGTTTGAAACCAAATTGCTTTTAGCTACAATAAGGGAAAAGAAGCAGTGGGACTAGGGGATTATTGAGAAAATCCTGACTAAAAAGTAGGGACCAGATGTGGTGAGAAGCATTCTCATCCTAGATATATTGAGTACCAATAAACATAAAAAGAAGAGGAAAGCCCTATTGCCTTTATTATTATTATTATTATTATTATTATTATTATTATTATTTTCCTCACTGTCCTTTAGAAGACTATAGCCTTGTTCTCTTGACTAGTGGAATTTGTATAGAATTTATACAATTTGAAAACTGGGATTTGGTTCTGGTCTGAGGTCCAAGTCTCCCCTCATTCCATCCCTGCAAAGGTGGTTCAGTTTGGCAGGGCTCAGATCTGATAATACTGTTGTGGTTCATACATGAAGAAGGACCTGGCATCAGTGGCAGAAAAGGTTCTAGAAAGGAAGCTCAAAGGGAGAATTTTCCCTATTTCTATTGATTGGGAAACTCAGCCATACACTTAGGTCTAATAATCATCGTGCTCAAAATACTCTGAAAATGTTTGCTTGCTGTTCTCATCATGGATAGTTTATCAAGAATAATGCCACTGAAAGAGGAGAACAAAGCAAGGAAAGGCAGGAAGTAATACTATGCTTCCAGCTTATTTGTTGGCAGGGACAGTCTAGTCTGTCACCCTGTGAGAATCAGGAGAATCCCTAGTGATTGCCTCCTGCTGCTGAATGAATGTCTGCCATGATATGTAATCATGTAGCTTCTGCCTTAAGCATCCACAACCCATAGGTTGAAGAATGTCAGTGCTGCGAGAGACCTTTGAGGTTGGGCCGGAATGAGGCAAATCGAGGAGTCTGAACTCCCAGGCCCTCTTCTCTCCACTCATTATATAGTCTCTTTGAATAAAGGGCTGCTCCTGCTGGTAGAATTACACATGGGATTAGATGTCTCTGTGTTCATCCCGTCACAGGATATCTGGGTTTATTTGCCTTTCACACAGTAATGAGTTCTTTCTTTTGTTTTTGAACCCTAGGAGTTGCCCTGCTCTCAGATGTGTACCCTGAGAAAATCTTGGTTGACCTATTGGCACAGTATGACAGCAGCAAGGGCAAGCATACACCTGCGACCAGAATGAAAGTTGGGGAAGTCCTGATGCGAGTTGTCAGGGCATTAGGTGAGTTTTCTTGTTTCATCCATCTGGAACAGGGTAGAGAAGTAGGCTTTGCAACCAACGTCTGTGTATTAAAAGGCTCGCTATGGTAGCAGCTGAGCACAGATCAGGGGTTGAGGTGACCTAGTCCCTGTTTGGGAATTTAGAAATGTGTAGCAAACGTGCCCACTAAGAGAATGTCGGCAGTAATGTCCTTTGTTCTAGATTTACCCAGTCTCCTCCTCATGGAGCTCTGCTGGGCTCAGTGTCAATGGAATGAGAAATAGAAATTTCATACTTTTTGTATAGCAATAAACATAAAAAGAAGGATATTGAATGTCTACTGTGTGCCAAGTTGGCAAGCTATGGAAGCTCATCTAATTTTCCCAACAAATCCTATAAAGAAGCTGCTATAAGGCCCATGTGATAAATAAACTGTGGCTCAGACATCTGCAGCAGTTTGTCTAAGACTCATTCAGCTGGCAGGTGATGGTATCAAGAACTGCACTACAGAGGGCCAGTGAGATAGCTCAACAGACTAAGTGCTTGCTTAAGCAAGCGCAGGGACCTGAGTTTGATCCCCAGTACCACATGCTTTGCTGGGGCCGGCTCCACACCCAGGCATACTGAGCCAGCCACCGAGACCCAGTGTGGTGGTCGACGCCTGTAATCACAGTGTTGGGGAGGCCAAAAA